TATTCATGGCAGACCGGTCTTGGTTATAGACTGTAGACGGTTTGGCAAGACCATCTGCAGTGACAAGGGGAAACAGTTTGGACTCAACTCTTCTTCTGCAATCTGTAGCTGAAAAGAGTTTCCTTTCCGACAGGTTCCACCGTCGACTGTCCATAGTGTTTCTAAAGGTATCAATATTCTTACAATTAAAATGGAAGAAATCACATGGAAACGAGTAATGAAACAACTATCCACGACTGTAACAAGATAATAAGCAGTCGATTTCTTCTATTTCAATTGTATACATTGGTTCAGTATCCGAGTTCAATATTCTTACAGATCAGTATTATGAGCGGTATGACACACAAGACAGGTGATCAATATTGCCAGAATCAATAAAACTACAAGTCTCCAATGCTAGTACAGGGCCGACTACTTTGAGTATGTTACCTTAACCCATGCTTGCGGGGAGAAATTAGGAACTGACGTGTTTATAACACCACAATTCTAATCCTGCACTGGCTACTGAACTGAGAATTTAAACCTTTAAAGTACCGGTACACAGGGGCGTGCTCGCCCCCCCCCCCCCAACTAGGGGGGTGCACGGGAGCCGAGGGGAGCCCCCCCCCCCCCCCGGCAATTTTCTGCAATTTGTTTGCAACCTTTCTTGAATTTTAGAGCATATTTGCATACATTACAACTGCAATTACCCAGATTGAAATTTTTTGGGGGGTGCACGTGCCCCCCGTGCCCATCGCCGAGCCCGCGCCTGTGTACCTGTACGTGTGCTGCAAGACGACAAACTGAGCAATCTGGACAGATTGTACGCTCTTAGATGTCTTCGAGCTCCTCCTCTTGTCACTCCACCGTTACTTCCTTCTTCATTAGTTCCAATGCTTACACCCACGTTCACCGTGACCTGAGTAAAGCCATGCGAACTCACGTTGAAAGACAAACAGCTGACCTGATCCCATCACTGAATAGTGGTGGCAGCAGATTATTATGTGACTGTTCGCATGAATAGTTGAACCTCAAGTTGTAGTACAGTGTACAATGCTAATCCAAAAGCCATGGGGTAGCCAATAGCAAAGAGACACATAGTCGGACAAGAACTTTTCAATTCATTCATTCGGTGACCACAAAAAATACCAAAAAAACAAAAGAAAAGAAAAAAGTCCAAGAACTGTATAAACAGAGAATGGTTATTGCTGAAATAGAGGCTACCACAGGAAAACCTACTGCTTGCGGTGACAATAATGTCCATGGGTGGTGAACTATACCAAATGCATGTATGCTTCAACGCGCTGCTGACCATGCGGACAGGCAGTATGAAATGGAGGACTGAAATTCAGACACAAGTGCATGATTTGACTAAAACGTACATGTCAAATCTAAACTGGAGACAAGTGTCGGTCTTCAGCATGTAACATAAACCATTACAGCACACGGGGTGACAATACTGAGCTATTCATTGTGAACTTGATAAATATGTCCTCAACTGTTCACGATAGGGAGCTGATAAATGTCCACTGACTAAAGAGCACTCGCTCTGCTCTGCAGCAACACTTTCAGCTTCTTTGTCCGATGTTGTACGCACAGAATCCAAGCCTAGTTTCTCAGCCATGAAAAGTCGGCAAAATTCAGTAGCGGCATCAGCAGAAGCAGCATACGAAGATGCACTATTTGATGATGAAGACTTCGCGCTTAACACCGGACAACTAGATGCAGTTACCTCGTTCTGAGGACGGAGTGGTGCAGCTGGCCTTCGGACAGCTTCTTCGGCTTGTTGTAAATTCCTTGCTACGGAGAAATGATCAGCTGGTAACATAGCTTTGTCCTCGCCAAGCATTTTGGAATACTCTGCAATGTCATTCTCTACATATACTTTAATCTTTGCAATGGTGTCGATTAGGTCCAATGTCATTCCATATAAAAAATCCTCTGAATCCCCATCTACAAACCATAGGTCCTTGTCATAGGAGGAGAGGAGATAGAGAAGGCCAAAGCCAGTATGAACATCATTGCGGCCACCTGAGGACAATGTGCATTTTCGTAGCTGACAAGATTCAGTGCAGTGCCCTGATTCGCAAAGCATGAAAATACGCCTAAACACAGCATAGAACATCACAGTAGCATCCTGGCTGATACGATGCACTACACTTATCAGTTGGCTGGATTCAGTCTCAAATGTAGTCAATACTGCACAGTCTGAGACAACGCTATCACAGTGCTCAATCACCCCGAACATCTTTTCCAGGTTCCGCAGCAGCAGCACACTACAGATAAAGTGTACGGGAATACACGATGGTGGTGGTGGTTTCACTGAAGTGGACTGATGCTCTGTCTTCGATGACTGAACGTGAGGGCATTGTAGTGGCACAGGTTTCACGACTCGACGGCGAAACTCATTCACATCACATTTGTAGAACGATGGATTGAACATCCTCTTTGCCTCCAACACAACAGACTTCCACTCATCACTACTACGAGACACAGCACTACTACTCAATTCTTTCCCCACACACATATCCACGATGAGGAAGAATTGAGCCAGTATTGTGTACGCATCATCAAAGAATGGTACAAACTCACTGACACTGAAGAGGTCTGAAGATGCCACACTGAATTCTTTCCAATAGGTTTGCTCACCTCCTTCCTCACTCTTCAACAGTAGCAGGCCTCCATCATAGCAGGAACAGTACATCTGCAACACCTCAACCATCTCCATTGATGCAATTTGACAGAGATATTCCCTTGACTCAGGTACATGAGCTGCAATGTTGTCAACAATGTCCTGCAAACTGTGGAATATATGCCAGAACTGTGCCATGCATCCAAACTGTTTTTGCAAGCCATACTCTTCTAGGATATCATTCCCCAAAACTAGATGAGATTGTGCGGGTACTTTCACATGGGATCGACTTGGCTGATTGCCGAAAACTTCCTCAAATAGGCCATCGAATGTCAAGAGCCTCCGCTGCAAGACGTGTATGAAAGTGGCTGGTCCCAGTGTCTTGTCACCCTCGAAAAAACCAGGAATATGTGGCCTGTAATTACTACTCTCACTATGGGATTGTTCCTCTGCTTCATCCACCAGATTACCAAAAAGCAGGAATAAGTAGTGCATACTATAGCGACGGTGCAAATAAATCAACCGGAAGTCGGGCTTGTACTCAATACTCAAGCCTAGGAATTCCTTGTCTCGTTGCTGGCAACCTGGAAACACGGACTGCACTGCACTGCATGCCTTCTCCAACTGTTCCCCGCTAAGTTCACATTCCGATTCGTGTAAACTTCGGTTCACTTTCGCAGAAGCCTTCCGTTTGCCTTTCTTCTTTGGTTTCTTGGTCGTTCTTGGCATTGTGATGGATTCAGGCGCATGACACCTGGAATTGGGGAGATATCACTTCTTTCCACTAAGATCATATATAGAAAATCCCTGCATCACTACAAAGATTCTTCAGCTACCCAGCTGGGTACAGCAGCTTCCCAACTGACTATGCAATGCAAGGAAATGCTCAGAATACAAAATTCACTTGGGCACCAAAACGACCAGGAATATTGTAGGAACACCGCAAGGCACGACAGCAACGTTTTACTGGAACAATGTATGCACTCATACCACTATGAATTCTCTTTGGTGATAGCTCTACCACATATCACATTGGCAAGGTATTCCACTGTAGTCACCGCTTGATTAAAACAATCACACCGCGGCGGGAAACAGTGCCAATAGCGCTACTTTTATTGAAGCTAATCGGAACACACACACATGCACACACACACACACACACACACACACACACACACACACACACACACACACACACACACTGTCACGGTACTACTACACTGCTGACCTAGCACCACTGACCACTGATGAGATTCAGAACAAGTGGTAATACTATCACAAGAAAAACAGTGCTTATGATGGGAGTGCTGTGATAATTGATGTATTGAGTGTGTAACCCGGCTATATTGACCTGTTAAGGTTCCCAAGTACCTTGACAAGTTACACATACAGTCATGCACATTACTACTCACCTTCAAGTTCACACCTCTAGCTTAGTAGCTCAAGGCATTTTTCAAGTTCTACCACCAACTTCATTCTACCATCACCTTTCAAATTTAAATATCCCCTAGCAATCGTGCCTATGATGGCAGGACATCTAACTTCATTGCACCATATGAATCTTCAGCAAATTACCCTAACACCAGTACCATCATCACCATCATCGCTGACTGGTACAAAGACGATTTGCTTGTGTAACCTATCACAGCATTGGAACGTAATTTTTAACACAAAATTCACTTGGCTGAGAAACAATCAGTCGGTTACGGCTCGTCAGATGATCGCTCCGTGCGTGGAACTTACAGCAGCAATAGTCTCTTGTCTCCTGTGTTTTTGCAGTACACACATACACACAATGTATATGTAGTACACATGTAGCGGAAAGTACCGCCAGAGCGCCCCACCATCTCGTCCTTTCGTGGTCGTATTGTGGAGGTAGTCTCCTGTCTGTAGGTCATACGACACAAACTTTGTACACATATTGCACGTTCTGCAGACAAGCCGTACCTTCCAGTGGACACGAGCTCCACACAAAACCTGCTTTGTGTTACCTTAGTACACTAAGGTTCCCACACCGTACAAACTTCGTTGCACTCTGCCATACGATTTTCCTTTCCCTGGCTGTAAAATCAAGGTGGGGCGCTCTGGCGAGACGGGACGCTCTGGCGAGACGGGACGCTCTGGCGAGACGGGACGCTCTGGCGAGACGGGACGCTCTGGCGAGACGGGACGCTCTGGCGAGACGGGACGCTCTGGCGAGACGGGACGCTCTGGCGAGACGGGACGCTCTGGCGGTACTTTACGGTATGTATAGCATAAACATTCGCATGCATTCATCTATTACTCACTATTCACGGTAGGCTCCTGTTTGACCCTTCCTCATCTTCTTGAATGAACTTGAATCCTCCTCTTCCACTATGCTGACTCCCAGGTATAATCTTTACCAGAGAGCCGAACGTCACGTGCTGAGTCTCATTGACAACACAACACTGTCTGGTGAGAATGCCGCATTTTAGGAGACCAGAGCTCGAGCTAGTGAGAGCACACATCGACGGTCACTGGCGCTGTATACGATAGTTGCTGCGGTGGCAGGTTGGTGAGCCATGCGGCCGAATGACAGCGGCATGTAGCCCACACACGGATCGCGTGTGTGGCACAGGACAGAATGGGCGTCTGCCATGTGCCTAGGATGCCAGTGGCAAGGACACAGACAGCTCTCGGTTATAGACTGTAGACGGTTTGGCAAGACCATCTGCAGTGACAAGGGGAGAAAGTTAGGACTCAATTTTTCTTCTGCAATCTGTAGTTGAAAAGAGTGTTCTGGACAGGTAGGTTTAAGAGTACATAAGCTGGTTATCGTAATTCCGTGCATATAAGCCCACGGGCCTACATGTATATCCGGATATAAGCCCACCTCCGTTTATAAGCCCATGGGCTTATAAACAGACACAAATGCAACTCGCGTGTCAACAAGAATTCTTCACAATGTGGACTTTTCCTACCATGGTACAGCAGGTCAGTGCTGTTTACCAGTAGAGTATAGTACACCCACAATGAGCACAGACTTGCACTTTTCCGTGAACCTTCAAAATTCGAATATTGGCAGGGTTCTAGCCAGACCAATATAGTAGGGGGGGGGGGGGCGGGCATGGGAAAAAGTTACCCCATGACCCATTTTTTCCATTGTCCAAACTTGTCTTGCCATGCAAAATGTAACATATGGGGTGAACCCCGACTTCACCCCTCACAAATGTGCCTTTATGAACCCTCTAGTAGTGACTATCGACTGTATTTTCGTTGAATGGCGTGAAAAACAAAAAATTGGAAAATGAGTAGGGGGCGGCCCTTTTTCACAGGGGGCGCGCAAACGGAGTAGGGGGGGGGGGGGCTGCGCCCCCTACCCCCCTTTGGCTAGAACCCTGATTGGCCCATGGGCTAAACAACGAACATGTTTTACTGGATATTTTATCCCCAAACTGCATTATTTCGCACATAAGCCCATGGGCTTATATGCGCGGAACTACGGTATGTACTCTTGTCTACATGCAGGTCATCATGTGTGTTGTTCAACCTGATAACTTAGAAACGTCTATGCAACAAACAAACATACGCCCGATAATCATATCGTTTTCACTCACAGAGCAACTGTTCAGTACATGGGGTAGTGGTCTACCAGAGCAATCACACTCACCACCGTGCTGGTTTTCCAGAAATGAGTAGAAGCAATGTCTAGGCAATACAAAAACATGTGCCTGACAATCGTATCCTGCAGTGGTTAGAGCATTGCTAGCCTCAAGCAAGGGTCCCTGGTTCGATAGAGCATTGCTAGCCTCAAGCAAGGGGGGTCCCTGGTTCGATAGAGCATTGCTAGCCTCAAGCAAGGGTCCCTGGTTCGATAGAGCATTGCTAGCCTCAAGCAAGGGTCCCTGGTTCGATAGAGCATTGCTAGCCTCAAGCAAGGGTCCCTGGTTCGATAGAGCATTGCTAGCCTCAAGCAAGGGTCCCTGGTTCGAGTCCTGGTCACGCTGACAGTCAATTTTTTCTGAAGACTTTTTTCCATTTTTCCATTACCTCCACTAGCGAACATTTCTATCATTTCGTACATGACACACATGAAACGCCCCATAACATGTGATAACCTAGGTATAAACAAAGGTTAATATTAGTGGTGTGCATGGGTAGTCGGGCACCCGTGCTACTTGTGAAGCCCTCGGGCAGACAGGTACAGAATAGTAAACGAACACCCGAAGTCGCAGATGACATCATGTACAGTGCAAGTGTACAAATTCATGTTAACGCACTCTCCACATACAGGCATGCACCCGGCTCAGAACACATTGTTTTCTGGTTGGCATATCAGGGATATTGGGCGGAGCAGCTGGCGTGCATGAGAAAGACAGGTCGGCCTGCTCTGCGCAGGAGCTGTGACCCGGTGCACACATAGTGTGTGTGAGAGAGAGAGAGAGAGACAGACAGGTCGGCCTGCTCTGCGCAGGAGCTGTGACCTGGAGCACACAGAGTGTGAACGGGTGCACACATAGTGTGTGTGAGAGAGAGAGACAGACAGGTCGGCCTACTCTGCGCAGGAGCTGTGACCTGGAGCACACAGAGTGTGAACGAGAGACGGTCGGCCTGCCGTGGGCAGGAGCTGCGACCGGTAGTGATTGAAATGAGCCAGCTGCGGAGATAGACTGCCCTCACCCGATATAAGTATATTGACAAGAGTTGTACTGACACTGTTATTGAGGAAATTATGGTGACAGTGACGGAGAAATAGTGATCCCCAGTCGAATGGGGTTGGGAGGGAAGGGGAAAATTAACAACTGACGGACAAACCAGTGAACAGTCAAGTCGTCGGAAAGCAAATGTGACAAAGGAGTCTCTCTTTTCTCTTGCTCTCTCTCTAAAGCAAGATTTGGAAAGCACGCGTGGGAGAGTGACGCGCGCTGCGCATGCGCATGTATAGCAATGACATCATAATCAGATGCATGATCATCAGACTAAGTATGAGTGGTAGATGTTCCACGTTCGTTAACAGGGCTTAGCGCACACGCTAAACCACCATAATACTCCGCATGTCCACCCAGTGTGTAAGGGATAGGCATTTCCTTGCTGCATAGCTCGCTGGGCATCCCATTGCTTTGTGTAACTTGCTAATCCCTACACCTTTTGTGTACGTGCTTTTCTTTTCTTTTTTCTCTTCTTCCGTGGTTGGTCTCACCCTCTCCTCAATTCAATTGGCTGTCCTGACATGCTACGAGGTGCCGCATTAAATAAATAAATAAAATACATAAATTTCCCAAATCGGCCCGATTTCTCGCATAGTCGGCTTTTCGATCGGCTGGGAGAATGTCCAAATTCGGCCATATTATGAGCCCCAAAGTCAGAATTCGGCTCAAAGCATGCAGTACTTGAAATCACCACTTGCAGTATACAACATTATACATTTTACATTCACGCTATAGAGCCATTAACGCACTCTCCACATACAGGCATGCACCCGGCTCAGAACACATTGTTTTCTGGTTGGCATATCAGGGATATTGGGCGGAGCAGCTGGCGTGCATGAGAAAGACAGGTCGGCCTGCTTTGCGCAGGAGCTGTGACCCGGTGCACACATAGTGTGTGTGAGAGAGAGACAGACAGGTCGGCCTGCTCTGCGCAGGAGCTGTGACCTGGAGCACACAGAGTGTGAACGAGAGACGGTCGGCCTGCCGTGGGCAGGAGCTGCGACCGGTAGTGATTGAAATGAGCCAGCTGCGGAGATAGACTGCCCGTTCCCAATATCCCCAATATGGCATGAGAGTAATAATGAAATACGACTGGTGTATTGTGCTGTGCTGACAGCAGCAATGTAAAGCTAAACCTAAGCAGTTCAGGCATGGTGTGGTCACTAACCCGCAGCTACCATTGATGACTTTGAACTGCAGCTAATTGACGTGACACTCGCAGGGTGTCAGCTGTAGCAGCCCGGATGTAGCGGTGGACCGCATCACTGCGCCATCTACCCATGATACGGATGATGTGTTCGGGGACACCTGCCATGGCCGCTGATGTTGCGGCGCCAATCCGGAAAGAGTGACTGGCATATGCACTCGGGTCCGTGACCCCACAGAGTGGCAGCAGGTTGCGCAGTTCAGAGGACACTGCATTTCTTGTAAGCGGCTGGCCATTAGCATAAGTGAACAGATGGTCGCCGCCGGGGCGAAACGCCAGGTAGTTTGCCATGGCCTGCACTGGGCAGATCAGTGCGTCCGTGCTGGCTCCAACCAATACTGTGTGGCCCGTGCTGTCGGGGTCCGTCTTAGATGAGCGCACGTTTACCGATAACGACCGCGGGTCAGTACTGATCGTCACATCACATCGCCTCAGGCCAGCAGTCAGTTCTCCACAACGGAAGAACCCATGAAACGCCAAGGAAAAAGCTGCCCTTAGCATGGCCTTGTCGTGAGGGTGCCGCATGCGTGGAACGGCAACATGCCGGCAGATCTCCCTGAGAAGTGGAGTGGTTATCGGCAGACGATGACGCTGTGTCGATGACGACCTGTCGATGCCCCGCAGGACCCTAGCGAGGAGAGTTGTTGGGCCCGACGGGTAAGCAAAGCCAAGTTCCACATGAAGGTTGCGGATTGCCTACATGTAGACACGGACAGATCGAGGCTGAAGAGTCCTGAACAACTCGGCAGCAAAATAGCACAAAGTAATGTCGTCGCCCGGCAATGGGTTGCAGGCATGCACTTGGCAGAACTGGAAGTAGCGGGTCTCGGCGGTAGAATACGTCCGGCGGGAGGATGGTGCTATTGCCAGTGCTGCTAGCTGTAGCACGGAGTCTGTCAACGGAGAGTTGGCAAGACTGGCTGATCTGGCTCGGCTGCTGCTTCCGGGGCCTGGTGCCTGAATACCTGCAGCAAATTGCGAGACAATGCATCGGCGACAGTGTTAGTGACACCAGGAATGTGGACAGCTGACACCAAGAAGTCATGCTCAATACACAGCAGATACAATGCCCGGATAAGTGTCATGACTGGCGGTGAACGGCAGGTACCGGAGCGTATACAGTCCACCACGGCCTTGTTGTCACACTGAAACTGAATGCGTCGCCTGCTCCACTCCGAACCCCAGGTCGCGCAGGCAACTATGATAGCATACATTTCTTTGAACTCAATGTTCTCGTTCTCGTTCTAGGCTGTCCACTCTCCTCTCAGCCACCGGCCGTTGTAGAAGGCACCATAACCGTGAGTGCCGCTGGCATCAGTCTGTAGTTGCATGTCGGGGGCTGGCGTCCACTCATCCACCAGGAAGAATGACTTCCCATTCCATATGGTCAGGGCCTCTGCCCACCACAACAGGTCTGCCATTGCCGATGCCAAAATGCGTAGCCATTGGTGCAATGGTGTTGATCGAGTTGCTCTGTCCAGGTCGTACAGGCGTCTCAGGAATGTGCGACCAGCTGGTACAGCTCTGGACGCGAACGAGAGTTTGCCCAATACGGAGGCGAGGTCGCGTTTCTGAACCCGGCCGGATTGGACGAGGGCCGACACGGTGGTAGATAGCTTAGTCAGCTTTGAGGGTGGAAGGCGGATCTCCAGAGCCATTGTGTCCAGCTCTAAGCCCAGGAAGGTGAGAACCGTAGAGGGGCCGTCAACCTTCTCAGGTGCAACTGGGACCTGTAAATATGCAAACAGGTCGAGCAGTAGTGACTTCTGGTGCTGGGCAAGAGGAAGACTGGGAGGCGATACATTCAGGAAGTCATCCAGATAATGAATGAGATGGGGAAGGCGGCATGTGTCCTCCAGAACCCAATGAAGGGCAGATGCAAACTTGTCAAATATGTACGGAGGTGACCGAAGGCCGAACGGGAGGACTTTTTCGAAATAGTAACGACCATCCCAAGAGATACCCAGCAAGTGCCAGTCAGAGGGGGCAACAGGGCATAATCGGAAGGCGTTTCGAATGTCCACTTTGGTCAGGTAGCAACCACGGCCTAACTTCATGATATAGGAGATAGCCGAATCGACAGTGTCATACTCCAAGCTGAATGACTCCCGGGAAATACCATCATTGACACTGCGGCCAGTGGGGGAGGATAGGTCATGGATGAGGCGAAATTTGCCATTGGATTTTGGGATCAGGCCCAAACCCGAGGTTTGAAACAGCTGATATGGCGGCTCAGCAACCGGACCAGCTGTTTCCCCAGCATCGCAACAAGACTGTAGGTACAGGGTGACAAATTGTTTATTGCAGAGACTAGACGGATGATTGACAGATTGAATGCATGATACCAGAGGAGTGGTGTGACCAATCGAGAAGCCGTTAAACATGCCAGCACATACATAATCACGAAACAGGGCATCAGGGTGAGCAGCTAGCAGTGCAGTTAGCCGAGGCACGTTGACTGGAGTGACGACGTCACTGGGAAGACTGAGAGGCCGCTCGGGTGCAAGTCTTCTTTGGGTGTTTGCCGCGGCATGACAGACAGACATGGGCCCGTATGCAGGACGGGTATGTGCAGGCGCCGTTGTTGTAATTCCGGCAGATCTGGCGGCCATCGAGACGAGGAGCTGGGCTGGTGGCTGACTGGCACGAAAGGGGCAATGCGGGGCTGGAGATGGGTGCACGAGAGAACAACGCGAGCAGATAGGGCGCCCGCGGCTCGTGAAGCAGGACTGCCAGAGGTTAGGGTCCAGTTGCCGCCAGGAATACAGGTGCGGCATGGCAGCAAGACCAGCACGGAAACGACGGTCATAGGTCAGCCACGCGTCGGTCAGATAATTGTTGTTGGCCTCGATGATGTTGGCTTGGTACGCCAGCAAATCTGGAGCTTGGTCCGGCGACGCATCGACCAGGACTCTGGTGAACAAGGTGAAGGCCTCTAACCACGTCGCCAAGTCATGGACTCGGCGCTTGGAGGGCTGGGGAGTGGACGAGCTCTGCACCAGCTCAACGGACCTGCCGTTCACCAACGACAACTGCAGGACATCACTACTGCCGGACATG